TCAAGATTAGAGTGAAACCAGAATTTAAAGAGATTTGTGAGGCAATCTAAGCACAACATCTCATTCAATTTTGACAAATGCTTCCAAAACATTTATAGTTGTCTGGCATATATATTATATATAATACACATATGTAATACAAATATATGTACATAATTATATATACACATAGTGATATATATCAGTGAATATATAATATATATATAATAAATAACACATTAGTGATTTTTTAACAATTTTTCAAGCATTTTCTTAGCTTTATATAATAAAACACTACATTTTCTTTGCACATGTATAAACTAAAATTATATTAACTTATTAGGGTAATGGTGTAACAGGTATTAACAGGAAAGGACAAATAAAACTGACTCCAAGCAAGTAGTTAGTTGATGGGAGCAGAGGTGCCCAGTCCTGCAGAAGACCATTCTGTATTCTACGGTCTTGAGTTAGAATGTGTTACAAGATTTAAGTCAGTTCTGTGTGGGAATTAAGTGAAGGTTGTGTTTGAGGGTGTCACTATAATTTTAATAACTGAGCTATGATTTTTTTCTTCTTCTATGAACTTTGCTACAATTTTTCTTAGGTTAAGCCCCTCAAAATTTCTGTAATGTGGTATGCTTGAGGGTATCCTTAAACACGTTCCGAAGTGTCAAATGCTGGAAATAGTATTGTGAGAGAAACAAGCAAATTGATAGTAGCCCCAGACCAATTTTCTAGCCCTTCCGGTGAGTAGTGTTTATGCAGCTTAACCTGCTGAAACTGGCACTTCTAACAATGGTTCTAAACCTGTGTAAATTGCTACATATTACCAACCTGTAGAGGACAGTGCCCTCTGCCTCCTGCATTTAGGTGCAGGGGTTCCCTGTGGTGCCTCTGGGTCTTTGTCACTGAGGAGCTGCTGACCGAGGGGAAATCACTTCAGCTATCTAGATTTGGGTTGGATGATTAGAAAATTTTATACCAAAAATCCTATATTGCCTTGTGTTTTTGTTGTTTATCAATGTTTTTACTGGGGTAAGGGCCATCTATATACTTACTCTACAAGGTGCTCTCTTCTCTGCAGTCATGTCTTACCCTACGCTGGCTGTGTGACAGCACCCATTGTGGGCATGGTGGGAAAGGGTATACAACTCTTGGTGCTGTCTTCTAGTTCAAGACTTCTTTCTGCTTCTTCCCTCTCCCCTTCTTTTTTCTTTCTCTCTAGGCAGAAGAATGCTTTATCTAGAGATTTAGGGTATACAGAAACCGTTCTAGGCTTTCAACTCTCTTATTCTCTTTCCTTTGACACCAGCATTGTATGATCTGAAAATCAGTTTTGAACCTTGTGTAAAAGTAAGATGAATTAGATCTTCTTGGCTTCAGAGATTCAGCAATTCTTATCTTTTCACCTCTCTGCTTTAACCAGTCAACAGGAGACAAGAATTCTCTGTGGTCCAGTCTGGGCTACTGTGGCTCAATGTTGGTTATTGGAGTATAACTCTAGCTTATGAAAATAGAGAATTTACCTTACTCAAATGGTCATTGCTAGTCAACCCTCTCCTCCAGCATTTCTCAAGAAGAATAATTAGTTTAGGAATAATTTCTAGTATTTCTGGGTCCCTTCGGTACAGTAACTCCTAAACCATACTATCATGAAGAAAATCTTCCATTGATAGGCTAATGATGATCAAATGGACATTGACTCCTTGAGAAAGTGTTACATTTGTTCTTCTTACTACTCTATCTTCACTATCTCATATATAATAATTGATAAATATTTATTGGCTAAATTAATGAATGTATAACTACAAATATAGTTTCTAATTACTCTGTGGTTACATTGGTGATAATGTAGAAGGCTATGAGAGCAGCCTAGCAGACACCAGGTAACTTCTTCACCCTTTTACTGACATATAACTATCAATGTTGATCCACTGCTGGCTAATAGTCTGATTCTATAGCTTAAAGAATCAATAGGACAGATATTTACCTACATTTATCCCTAAATATTTTTTAAGTAATTAAAAAATTGATTCTCTAGCAACAGGGACATCTGTAAGAGGCAATGATTTACATAATTTCTGCATATATATGATAGATATTGTACACATGCAGCTTGAAATAACTTTTGTATTCTATATACAAGTAGTTATTTTTATGAACCAAAGACACTTCAGTTATATCTCTGTTGCATATTGAAATAATTGAGTGGGAATATCCTAAATTAACATATTACAGGTTTTTAGTGCAATATGCAAATTTAGAATTGGGGCAAAGCCAAAATGTGCAATAGCATATGTCTCTTAGCATATCCTCCTTACACAAAGTCCTTGTTTTCCCATTTCTGAATCATTTCTCCCGTAGTTCCTACTTTTACTTATTGACCAGAGGCCTCATATTCTCTTTATCCTGACTCTCCCATTATAACTCTTATTCAGGATATTATCTAATATCCTCATTTTAAGGAGTAAATAGATTTAAGTCTAAAGTAATAATGTGAGGGCCTCCCTGGTGCAGGTGTTAAAGACAGCACTATCAAGCTATCTTGAGCCACTGCAACCTAAATTCGATCCCCAGCCAGGGACCTAGCCCATGTAGTGTAGGAGACCTGTCCTGTCTCTCCTGCTGCTCCCCTCAGAAGTGTATTTCAGTAAAATCTGCCTGTTCTGCTCCCACTCTGTTTCTGGTGAATCCTCTCAGCCTCCACACCTCTGGCCTACTCCCCAGTTCTTACATGCATAAATAAATCTTTAAAACAAATAATGTGACACTGTGAGAGGAAATTTCATTTCTCCATGCAATGAGAAGCATTTATTTTACTTTTTCTCTTTATTGGCAATTTTTTTAAGATATATTTGTTGAGCTAATGCTGATTTGCAACACTACACATGTTTCAGGGGCATAAGTTTACACCTCTATAAATGTATGTTCTCACATTGCACCCACCAACAAAGCACCCATATAAGAAGACTTTAACCCAAGAAATAAAACTTGTGGAATGCTATGGATCAATGTACTTGAGAAAGTATGTCATAAACAGAGTCAAGGGGAAAGTTTTGTGTATTTGAAAGTCAACTTTCATGCATTTCTGAAATTAAATGCTAGCTAAATCTGTCCATAGTGTCTGGTCTTAGTCAAGTCTGGAGAGTGACTGCACACTTTGTGTATTAGCTGGGGGCTCCTCTTCATGAGCAGGACATAGAAAGATTTGATTAATGATAGAGGCTTTTGAAATAAGAGCCTTGAATTTGAATATAAGCTCACAAATTCTAACTCTTTAGGCAAAATACAATAGCTTTCTAAGCTTTCGTTTCCTTGCCTGAAAATGTAAATAGACTAGTATGGGGATTAAAAGAGACAATGAAGACAAAATACTTTGTACATAGTAACTTACAAAATATTCACTATTAGTATGTGTGCAACAAATACAACAGAATGAAAGTCAAGCATAGCATTTGAGCATCAATATTTTAGAGGGCTTACAAATACGTTTGAGGAAGTACTAGCTCTTGGAAATAGGGAAGACAAAGAAAAGGCATCCAAATTGGATAGGAAGAAGTAAAATTGTCTTTGTTTGCAGATGACATGATCTAAAAACACCTGTTAGATGTAATATATGAATTCAGCAAAGTTACATGGTTCAGAATCAACTTATCAATATCAGTTGCATTTTTATATACTAACAGTAATCTATACAAAAAATGAGAATTCTATTCATAATCACATAAATATACTTAAAATATTTAATCAAGAATGTAAAGGACTTATACACTGAAACTGTAAGAAGCTGATAAAAATAAATTGAAGAGAACACAAATAAAAGGAAAGACACCTTCATTATTGTATTTGAATAATTAGTATCATTAAAATATCTACTACTTAAAGTGATCTATATAATACTCTGGTTTCTCTTCAGATCGCATAAATCTTTCGCCTTTTTTAAAGTGATCTATAGTTTCAATATAATCTTTATCAAAATCCAATGGTACTTGAGGGAAAAATCCTAAAATTCATAGAGAAATGTGAAGGAGTTTGGATAGCCAAAGCAATCAAGAGAAATAAAAACAAAACTGTAGGCATCACATTTCCTGATTTTAAACCATATCACAAAGCTATAGTGATTAAAACAGTATGAAACTGACATATAGAACAATTGAACAAAATAGAGAGTCCGGATATAAACTTACTTGCATTCAATCAACAAATCTTTGCCAAGAGTACCAAGAATACACAATGGGGAAAGAATAGTCTCTTTAATAAATGTTTTTGGGGAAATTGGACATCAACATGTAAGAAAATGAAACTGCATTCTATTCATACACTACACATAAAAGCCAATACAAAATGGATTAAAGACTTAGTACCATAATGCCACATAATACTAGAATCCAAAAAAAAATCCTAGAAAAAATCATAGGAAGAAAACTTCTTAACTTCAGCCTTTATAATGATTTCTTTTTAGTATTACATCAAAAGCACAGACAACAAAAGGACAAATAAATACATGGGATATTACACTAAAAGGATTCTGCATGGCAAATAAAACAACAGGTAAAACATATTCTATGAAATGATATTTGCAAAGTATTTATCTTATAAGGGCTTAGTATCCAAAATAAGTAAGGAACTCCAACTCAATAGTAATAAAACAAATTAGTTGATTTGAAATATGGGCAAAGAGTCTGATAAAAAAATTTCCAAAGAAGACATACAGATGGCCAAAAGACATATTAAAATGTATTCAACAATGCTAGTCATAAATACAAATTAAAACCACAATGAGTTGTCACCTCACACCTGTTAAGGTGGCTCTTAATTAAGAAAATAAAACAAATGTTGAAGAGGATGTATAGAAAAGGGAATCTACTACACTCTGGGTGGGAATGTAAATTGGTAAGGCTACTGGAAAACAATATGGATGCTCCTCAAAAAATTAAAAATAGATCTATTGCATGATCTAATCCCACTTTGGGTGTTTATGCACAAAAAATGAAATTATGATCTTGAAGGAAAGGTATGTCATGGCGCCTGTGAAGCCGGCCGCACGGTGGAGGAGGATGGGGCCTTTTGGGACGCATGGCGAAGAAGTTTCTCCAATCGGGTCCAGGAATAAAAAAGTAAAACAGAGGACGTGGCGACCTAACCATGTGCAGGCCTTCGTGGGGAGCATTTGTGAGGGGCAAGGCTTTGCATTTCGAAGAAAATTGAAGATTCAGCAAAATTATAAGAAATTACTATGGAGGGAAAAGAAAGCTCAAACTGCACAGGAATCCCAGTTCACAGACTGATACCCTGATCATTTGAAGCATCTCTATTTAGCAGAAGAAAAAAGACTCAGGAAGCAAGTAAGAAAAGTTGACCAGTCTAGGTCAGAACAAATTAATCAAACACTGCCAGAAGAACAGTGTAGCTTTGATCAGACTTTGTCTGAAGAGCACTGTAGCACTGACCAACCTCAGCCTGAAGAAAAGCGTAAGGAAAAAGTAAACTTCATTACTATTCCAAAGAAAAATAAAAAGAAAACATCAACTCAGAAAGCACAAGAAGAATATGAACAGGTACAAGCTAAACATGCTGCTAAGAAACAAGAATTTGAGAAAAGAAAAAAAGAGAGAGAAGAGGCTCAAAGGCTGTACAAAAAGAAGAAAATGGAAATGTTCAAAATATTGAGCAAAAAGACTAAAAAGGGCCAACCAAACTTGAATTTACAAATGAAGTATCTTCTTAAAAAAATTCAGGAAAAAAATTAAATCAGTTGTTTTTTTCTTAGTGATGGGTTAAAATACCTTCTGTTGTGTATTCTTTTATATGGGTAACATACCTTCTAACAACTAAATTTGTTAACATAAACTAAGTTTTTAAATTGAAATATCAAAAGGCCAAATAATTTATTCTTGTAAAAGAAAAGTTTCTTAATTTGCCCTACACAATATGCCAAGTTTCTTATTTGCTTCTAGAGGAAGTTTGACTTGAAGAACTGAAGAACCTTTTATTTGAACAACAGGTTCAGTATATTACTTTTGTATTATATGAAATTCAGATGAAATAAAATGTTTTGACAAAAAAAAAACTTGAAGGAGATATCTGTACATCTATGGTCATTATAGCACTCATCACATTAGGCTAAGAAATGGATATAACCTAAATGTCCATTAATAGATGAATGGATAAAGAAAATACAGTATATATGTGTGATGGAATATTATTCAGTCTTAGAGAAGGGGGAAATCTGGCATTTCCAACATACGTAGACTGGAGGTTATCATGCTAAGTGGATTAAAACACAGAATACAAATCCTGAATGACTATGATTTCATTTATATGTGGAATTTAAGGTAGTAAACTCGTTGAAGTAAAGAGCAGAATGATGATTTTCAGGAGCTGGAGGAAAGGGGAAATAAGAGCCTACAAAGTGCTGGGTATGTACCACAGGTTTTGGAGAATCTAGCTAACAATACTATATTATGTTGTTAGAGTTTGGTAAGAGGATAGAGTAAATGTACACAACATATTAAAAATCATGTTTATGGCCCTGAACATGGTGATGGTTACACAGATGTGAATTTCTTATTGAGCTGGATGGATAGGATATATGTATCTTTTTTTTCTTTTTTTTTTTCCAACAAGGTGGTTGGGTGGGGAAGTCTGAGTGGCAGAGACAGGAAGGCAGAGACAGGAAGCAGGAGCCATTGAGCTGCTGCTCTCCCAGGATGACTAAGGGGTGCATGAATGGGGGACTTAAGGCAACAGGGGCTGGAGCAGGGAGTGACTGGGGCAGAACACTGGCTAGAAAAGAGGGAAAGGACAAATGATGCACAGACTCATCAGTTTCAACCTTAACTTCTGACTCATCAGTTTGTTATTTTAGGTGTTTAGTTGCAAAAGCAGCACAAATAGTACAGTCAAAAACAGGAAGTTATATTGTAAAGTAAATGTTTCCACTGAGTAGGTAGCATTTCTAAGCTGTTTGTATTCGGCATACACTAAAATAAGATATCCAGTAGATTCTGTTTTCTCTCAGTGATTTTAATTAGATAGCAAGGGCATATGTCATCTTGAATTTTATTTACCAATCCTAAATCAGGGAAGAGAGTTTCCGGAAGCATGAAGACAAGCTAAAAAAGCTAGCTGGCCCTAGAATTGAACTATATTGATTTGGTGCTAAAGCAGAACAGAAAAATTGTACTGAAATATTTTAGTCACCACTAAAGAGGATTGAAAAAGGAGATAAAGGTCTGTATAGTCCTGCACTTCAAGTCAAGTATCATTATGTGTAGTTTGGGAGAGATCACGTTGCATAGTAAAATCTTGATTAGCTTGAATTCCCTAAGCACTTCTCTGGAAAAGCAATCTTATAGGAGAGATTTAATGCAAATAGGCATTCCAAGAAAATTCTAGGAATAATACAAATTATATACAGTTGTCTCTACATCTCTAGATGAAGCATAGAGATGGTAAGGAGTAAAGATTTGAACAAGCTGGTATATCCCCAAACCAAAGAACACTGTATTTATCTTTCTATAATTTATACACCAAATCAGGAAAAGCGGGCCAGTACATTTAAGGCTGTTTTTCGAAAGAAGTACTAAAATTAAAAACAAAATGAAACAAAATTTTAGTGTCTGTCTCTATCCTGACATTCAGCTGATTAATATATACATTCTTTTTTAAAAAAAGATTTATTTATTTATGCATACAAGAGCTAGGGTACAGGCCAGAGATGTGGGGTGTGTGTGTGAGAGGATTCATCAGAGACAAAGTGGGGAACAGAACAGGCAGACTGACTGAAACACACTGCTGAGGGAGCAGTGGGCGGGCGAGACAGGAGAGGTCTGCTTCGCCATGGGGGTTGCTCCCTGGCTGGCTGGAGGATCGAACTTGTGCTGCAGAGGCTGCAGATTGCTTCATAGTGTGGTGCTTAACCCCTTGCGCCTCCAAGGAGGCCCAATATATACATTCTTGATTATTGTTTGAATGTTTCATTCTTCTTACAAGATACTGATGAAGAACAGAGAAATTATACATGGCTAGACTTAGCACAATGCCCACAAGAAAACCTCAGTTTACAATTACCAAGTCTTACTTTTTTTGGCCATGGTTATTTTCAGTGAATGTTATCACCAACTTAGGAATACTCAGTGCTCTTGACAACCACAGAAATTCCTCTCCTTATTCTGAGCCTCAGGAAAGCTCTTTTCAGTAGAATGTAGCTGCATAGCATTGCCTGGATTGGAGGAAGCAGGACATCTCATGTAGGGGAAGGAGTGAATAGTTACAGTGCTCTTGGTTGGAGGTAGGGGGACGCATGAGGAATTATTTCTTATTCTGCAGCTGGTGTAGAAAGACCATGCAGGAAAGCATTCCCTGCCATAAATAATCACATAGTGCTAGGACAGAAGATGGAGCAAAAAATGAGCTAGCAATATAGGCTTAGCTTAGTGACAGGCATAGAAGGGAATCTTGAGGTTGCATTGGAATCAACCCAGCTCACTAGGTTATGAGACCATACAGTTTAGAAAAGCAGGCATTAGTCACAAATCAAGAGGTTGTGTTGCATTTACCTACAATGTTTTCCATTTTACTACTGCTCTGGCAACAAAGCTTGATTTCCAGGCCAGCTATTTTATTCTTATTTCTACCACCCGGTATCTATGTTCACAAGTTCCAAACTCTCCTGTGAGTTTATTGTATTAAAAATCATTTGTAGTTCCAAGCTTTTGCTTATTTTCCAAGGCCTTTACAATAAGTCATTTGTCAGTTGGGATTGATGTGAACTGATTGTTTTATATGCACAAATAATATCTTGTTTTTTTCTTTGAACTTTTCTGGATCCATTTCTTTCATACTGAAGCATATTATCTGTTGGAAATAAGTTTAGAAAGATTAGATCTGTCTGATTTCTTTCTGTTTTACCTGATTACTATTTGCCTGACTCAGATTTTGTCTTTGGAGATATATGATAGCATCTACCCATCATCACCACGGAGGGTTGTGGCTTTTTGTTTTATTAAATATTTTTGTTTTTGCTTAGTGCATGCTTCATTTTCAACATGTTTTTACATGATTGATCTCAAGGGCAGATGCTAATGTACTGCACTGTATTATTGAAACTTGTGAATAAAAAAACAAAACCCAGAGGGGTTAATTGAGGAGCCAATATCTTTAGTTTGATATTTCTAACAATTGGAACAATTCTCTGATCTGGAAGGGACTCAGATACCATTTTATAAAATTTTCTCTGTTCAGAGATAAAGAAGCAAAGGTTGCAAAGATTAAGTGACCCACTCATTGTCACACAGCTAATTGGTGGCAGGGGTAGAACTAGAGGTGGGGTCTCCAGATGTTTAGTCTATATTTCTGTCCACAGAATCACATGCTTGTTCAGCTCTCATCCTGCAGAATCTCTAAGTAGCTGTTTTACTTGATGAGCCTGGAAGGGTCAAACTTAGTGGATATTAGGCAATTAGGAATAGATCTAACTGATAATGCTGATAACCAGTTATTGAGCACATGACTGCCTTCTAGAAAGCTGACATTTCCAGTTTCTAATTAAAATCAGAAATTATAAGGACTCCATTTAAAAATTGTAGAACATTATCAAAAATCCTAGGTTTATAAAATTAGCAAATATGAGAGAAAGGGAAAAAGGAGGGTGACGGTGTGACTAATAGAAACACATTCTTATTTTTAAAGGTGTCTCATCAAGCAGGCAGTAGATGAGTCCCTGCAACCCCTCCCAAATGCAGCCAAGGACACAAAGTGATATTTCTGTGTGGGTTGTATTCTGAAAGTTCATTTTCAGATAAAAACTGTGTTTACGCATAATGGGAAAATTCTGAGCTGTGGAGGATTTGTTTGTTGTCTAACTGAAAGCCTTTCCCTCCTTCTCCTTCCTCAACTTTGTTTCTTCTGTGACAGTTGACCCCTGGCCCCATTGCAGAAGCTAAAAATCTAAATAAACCATTTTCCAGGCTCCTCTGCACTTAGGATCTGGTACTTTACTCAATATTGGCCAATGAGTAGGTTGGGCAATGCTGGACAACATTTCCATACTGATAGAATGAAAGGGAAAACTTCCCTTTCTACCTTTCTTTTTTCAAAATAAGATTTATTTATGCATACAAGAACTGGGGTGGAGGCCAGAGGTGCCGGGGGATGAGAGGATTCACCAGAGACTGAGAGGGGAGCAAAACAGGAGGATCTACTGAAATACACTGCTGAAGGGAGCAGCGGGCAAGCCAGGAGAGGTCTGCTGCGCCCTGTGGGCTGCCATCCTGCACGGGGATTGAACTGCAGTGGCTGGCAATAGCTTGATAGCACCACCAGGGAGGCCCCCTTTCTGCCTTTCTAATGCAGGTGCCCAAGAACATTTTTTCAGGGTGGGTGCAGCCATCTTGTAACCATGGAGAGTAAAACCTGGGATTATTAGCTGACATGCCAAGGGTGGTTGAAGAGGAACTCAGAGAGATTTTGATCCTTGAGGATATGTTCAACCACTAAGTTAACCTTAGGGCCCTTCACTGTGAGTTTTCTTGCCATTCAACAAGCTGGAACCAGTTCTCCTGGTGAGAACTCCGTGAGAACTGATTGTGCGTGTCCTTTCCCATTTCTATGTGGGTAGATGATGTCAACTATGTCTGGAAAATACACACTATGGAAATTGCAAATGCAAGAAATAAGGAATTTTTTTATTTTTTTAAAAGATTTATTTATTTACACAAGCACTGGGTACAGTCAGAAGTGTGGGAAGGAGAGAGAATTCACCAGAGCCAGAGCGGGGAGCAGAGCAGGCAGAAGGA